TTTTTTTTTTTGCTGGTATTGTTTTGCTGTTATATGCTCCCCCTTCTGCCTTTGGAGGACTCTTTGTTTCCCTATATTACACAAGAAAAGTCAGCAAATGCTACCATACAGCCAACCTACAATCACACACCAAAACACCAAACCCAGGCAAAACCAATACCAACTGCCATATAGCACGGAAACAGACAACACCTGTGAAAGTTACTCTGAGTTAAACAATAAGAAGAGTGAAAAGGGAAGGCCACATCATGATCACATCTTCCTGGAAGCAATCAGAAACCATAAAAAATACCAAAACACATACTCAATTAAGTATTAAGGCCACAGATAAACATTCAACATGTCCAAGAAGCAGATGACCATATCAACACATGTCCAGAAACAAGATAAAGTGTCTGAGACAAATGACCTAGAAGTAGACCTGGACTCCATTCTGGAAGGAGGGCAGGCCTTGGAAATGCCTGATATGGAATTCAGAATAATGATTATAAAAAGGCTCAAAACACTTACAATGGAGTTGAGAAACATAAGGAAGAAGCCAGGAAAGTGCAACAGGAACAATCAAATAAGATAGATAACAACATTGGATACAATTCAAAACCTACAGAAAGAGGTCCAAACGATCAATAACAAAATAACAGAAATAGAGAACACTCTGAAAGGACAGAGGAGTAAAACAGATGAGATGGAAGGCAGAACCAGTGAGCTGGAAGACAAATCTCTGAATATCATTAAGATAGAAGAACAAACACAAAAATGGATGAAAAAATCTGACAATGTTCTAAGATTAAAGTTGGACAACATGAAGAGGAATAACTTAAGAATTATTGGCATTCCAGAACAAGAAGGATCCCACAAGTCCACAGAGGAAATAGTTGAAAAACTGCTGGAAGAAAATTTCTCTAACATCCTGAAAAGTTAAAAGATAAACATTCAAGAAGCTCAACAAACCCCATGAAGGATAGACCCCAAAAGAAAATCACCAAGACATATCATAGTCAAGCTCTCCAAAATCAAAGATAAGGAGACACTTCTGAAAGCCACCAGGGAAAACAGAAGTGTCACATACAAAGGCAAGCATGTCAGATTAAGCTCAGATCTCTCAGCAGAAACCATGCAA